CCGGAAATTTTCCTGAATGCAAAAAGGAATTAGAAATAAAATTCGAAATATCATTACTTGAATTGTAATAAAATTTCAAAATGTATCATGAATAAAAAGGAAACTTTCCCGTTCATTCATTTATAAATACAATAATACTTTGTAATTTCATCCTGCATATTTATCTGAAAATTAAAATTGCAAACCGGATATATACATGTGTTTGCTTAACAGTTTAAATCATAATTAATTGATGATAAAACTGCTATTCAATCGCATTGATAATGATAACTTGTTTTGATGAAAACAAATGGAGCAATATAAAATAGAAAAAGAGATTGATAAATGATAAATGTTCATATGGGTTCGAACAATTCTACTGATAACATTTCATCGTTCGAGCAATTCCATTGATAATACTACATTTCTTTTTTTGGACAAATCCACTGATAACATTTCATCGTTCGAACAATTTCATTGATAATATTTCATCGTTCGGACAAATCCACTGATAACATTTCATCATTTTGGTGATAAATAATTGATGAGTTATAGGAAATTTCGTGTATGTTTTGAAAATTTTATAAGGTAAAATTTTGAAATATGATTTTATTACGAAGAAATCGTTGCTAAATAAAATTAAATTATTTTCAATTCTCTGCAGTAACAATAATACATTATAATTATCATTATTATTAACATTATCAAAGTAATTCGAAATTTACATCTTTAAACTATCAAATTAAAATTAAATTAATAAGTCTTCTCATTAAATTTATTAACATTTTTATTGTAATACATATTTACAGGTATGCAAAATACCTTAATGAAACAACATGAAAATATACAATAATGATGCAAATTAATTGAGTTGGGAAAATTAAGTTGAATTTGACGTAATCATTCAGTTGTTAAAATTTCATCCAGTTGTTGAAATTTCATCCAGTTGTTGAAAATCGATCGAAAGCAATGTTCGTTCATAGAACATAGTTAAAATGATGCTGATCAACATTTCTTAAAATTGTGTAAACCATCCCATCCACAATTTAACAAACTTTATTGTTAGCTAAATAGCACCACCATTTTGTTGGGAAAAGCAAATTGCTTCATTTCTACTTCCTTTCGCCATTTTTTACTTTTCATTTTTTTTTCTTTTTTTTTGTTTTCTTATGAGAAAATAATATTTTTCTTCAATTATATTTATTGCTTTTTTTCTTTTTTAAATATAAAAAAAATTAAAATTTTTCTGTTCAAAATTTTAAAAAATTTAGTATTACTTTTAATTTTAATCAAAATTTCCATTTTAACATTTAGAATTGAAAGAATGAAATGAAAAATGAACGAAATACATTAAATTGCTCGTTAGAACTTATAATTTTTCACAGTCATTCAATTTTTATTTTTGCAAAAAAAAAAAACTTTTTTAATCGATGATTTCATATTCTTATCTTTAGGAAAAATATTTGCGCAATAATTCCTTGAATTGATTGTTTGTGACATTTAGTTATGCTATTTGTAATCATTATTTGTATTGATAAAAAGTTAAAAATGAGCCATATAATTCAAGATATTGGCATTATTGCTTGTATCTATAAAATTAAAAAATGAGCCGAATAGTTCAAGATATTGGCATTATTGCTCGTATCTATAAAGTTAGAAAATGAGCCGAATAGTTTAAAATGTTGGCATTATTGCTCGTATCTATAAAAGTTAAAAAATGAGCCGAATAGTTCAAGATATTGGCATTT